TCTCCCTCCCCCTGCCACTTAGTCCAGTTCCTCAACTCTGCCTTTGATGTTCAGGGCTCCCAGATTGCCGTATATAATTGAATCACTTGTTTTTTCAGGTCCTTGTTGTAAGAGGGTCCACCGGAAGCATCTGACTACTCTGCCATCTTGGCCCCGCCTCGACATGAATGATTCTTGACTTGTAGTCATAAATTTAGGTGTGGCTTGTTATCTCCAGCCTGTGGTAGAGAGCATCAAAGATCCACCTGTATAGACTTGCTCTATCTGGCCTAAATTATGTACAAAAGGTCATTTTTCACAGAAGCTGATGTAACTTACAAATTCCCATATGTTCCAAGGAAAACTTATAGGCATCAGAAGGAATGCATGGATATTTTTAAAAGCCCTCAATGTATTCTGATGCTGTGCCACCTTTAATGCAAAACAAAATTTCTCGTCTAGAGCTCAAAAATATAGGAAATTCTTAAAAATGTGACAGAAGCGTTTCCTCGCGCCAGTTTAAATATCCTAACTGTGCAGAAATGTTTCCATTAGGTCATAAGGTCTTTTTTTGAAAGGAAAGAGATGACCATTTGTTATTCGAATACTGTTCCATTGTTGATTAGTTGTGGGAATAAACTGAAGAAGTGGACTGGGGAGGAGCGAGGGATTCAGGATTATAAAGGAGTTAGAATCGCTAGGGTTTGGGAAGAGAAAGGAAAGGAATTAAAGATGATGGGCTAGGTGGCAGGTCTTGGGGCATTAACCTCCCATGGGGCACGCAAGGAGCTGAGGTGTGTGTGTGTTTTAAGGTAGTACTAAGTTTGGTTTTGGAAGATTGGTGTTTTTGTTTTTGTTTTTCCTTTACTCATGGAATACCTAATTGGAATTGGCCAGAACGTGTTTGGATATGTCCACTTGGAGATCAGTAGGATGACTAGGATTTGAAAATATGTGGTGGTCAGTATGTAGACAGAAGAACTTTAGATGTTGAGTAGAGAACTCAGGGAGCCCCTGTGGTATTGAGAGTGTTGAACCCTGAGAATACTGACATTTAAGGGTTAGACCTCATAATAGGAGGAGCCTAGAGAGAAAGCTGAGCATTGGAAACCTGTGATCAGAGGAATATCAGGAGAGAGTGATATACTAGAAACCCGTGGAGGGGAGGATTTTAAGAAGAGGAGATGGTATGTAGTGTAAAATGCTGCAAGGAAGTCAGAATAAAGCATGAAAAGTGCTCACTGGGTTTGGGGAACTAGGGAGTCATTTACAATTGCTAAGAGCAAATTTAGGGACATGATATGGGAAGAAGTGAAATTTTAGGCGTTTAGGTAGTTGCTGGAGCCCTGGTGGCATGGTGGTTAAGAGCTTGGCTGCTAAACAAAAGGTCAGCAGTTCAAATCCACCATCTGCTCCTTGAAAACCCTATGGGGCAGTTCTACTCTGTCCTAAAGGGTCGCTATTAGTAGGAATTGACTCGACAGCAACAGGTCGGTTGATAGTGTTGTTATTATTTTAAGATAGAATTGAACCTGTGTGTTTGTTGATGGAAGAAAAGCTATAGAAAGGGAGAGGTTTAGTGATATCCTAAGGAGAGAAAATGATTCTTTCATTCAACAGTTGTTTATTGAGCACCTGCCATGAGGCTAGTGCTGTTCCAGACTCAGGAAGTACAGATGTGAACAAAACAAAGTCTCTTGTGAAGGTAATTAAATGCTACATTAATATGTAAGCGTTGACATGCATTGAGGAGAGCAGGAGTCCTGCCAGTTTTCGTATGACTTAGAAGTTAACACATTATTTTTGCTACTGTTGACCAATTCCCTGGTTTGCCCGTACAAGGTTTTCAGAATATGTCTGTATTAATGTTTCTAATTGAGTCATAGGATCCTGAAATTACTGTGGTTCCATCCTTTATTGAACCAAAAGGATCTAATATTGGCAGTGCAGCAGCAGAGGCTGTAAAACCATTTCCAGCATTGTACACAAGTACATGCTGTAGGGTGAATCTGTTCATCTTTTTGTGCTGTATAAAATTTAGCCGTACAAAAAGTACGTAATTTTTTGTTGTTGTTATCTTTTTAATGTGTGCCATAAAAGTTTAAAAAAAAAAAAGATACTTACAGTGTAAGAGAGAGCACTTTATAAATTATGGGGTGCTGTTCAGATAAGTGAAAGTCAGTAAATGCTTATTGAACACCTATTGGTGTTGTTTATGAGGTCTGTTATCTCATGGGGTGGTAGCATAGTGGTGTGCGGCAATCCGTCAGGGTGCTGTAAATGGTTTGACGGTAATAACATGAGGTTTGCCAAGTTTGCTTTTAGTGAACTGGAGCAGTTAGAGTAACATCACTCGCACTCACCAAGATTTGACTGTCTCTCCCAAGAAGATAGAATGGGGTGGGGTTTTCTACTGTATGCAGCATGAGTATTGATGAAGGTGTAGATGGATATCTCGTATGTGAACAAAGTTGGGGGAAAGATTTGGTTTAGAATCTTTGACTCACCTCTCTTCTTCCAAGCCTTCTCTCCTTGCTTACCAATCACATTCAAGCCGTACTTGCTTCAGCCTCACCTCTTCCTCAGTGGTTCCAGCCTGCGTTCATCTACCTTCTCTCGTCTTCTCAGGCCTTACGATGAAACCACTAATCTTCATGGCACTGTCCGGTGCCTACACTCTGCTGTGATAAATATTTTCAATCACTCCCTGCCTCATCCCCTTGCCTCCTCTAAGGCTCTGGTTTATTTCCTACTAGCTTATTTCCTTGGACTAAAAAACAAATCAAAACTATTGTCAAATCCATGCTGACTCATAGTGACCCATAGCACAGGGTAGAACTGCCCCATAGGATTTCCAAGGCTGTAAATCTTTACAGAAGCAGACCGCCATATCTTTCTCCCTTAGAGGGGCCAAGTGCTTAACCACTGCATCACCAGGGCTCCTTCCTTGGGATAAATTACTTAAAGTGGAATTCGCAGATAAAAGATCAGAACAGTTTATAGATCTAGTGGCACGTTGCCCCAGGGCTCTTCAGAAATCTTGAAACAGTTAAAAGTGCCATCAGCAATGATAAGTAGGACCTGTTTTCCCACACGCATGGCAGTGTTGGACCCTGCATATTTGCTTGTTAGTTTGTGGTGCTTAATTGGAAGTTGCATTTTTTTTATGTCTCTAGTTTATTATAGTTGTATCAGTTCTTTATACATTAATAAGTAATTTTTATTGGCATTGGTGAGTTTTTTTCTGTATTTTTCAAAATCTCATTATGTTGGGCTGAATTTTGTTTATTTGAATACATGTCTTATTATTGATAATCTCCTTTTTAATTTCCCAAACTTCTTTCTTCATTTCAGAATTTGTGTCAGTTTTTGATAACAATGTTGGTTTTCTGGGGTCTGATAATTTGAAGTTGGGAGATAAAAGGAAATAAACTTGTACTAATATAATTTACCTAGAATTGACTTCACGATAATGAAGCTCAGAGGGTAAAATTGTTTTAAGTTTTAGCTGCCCTGATTCAGAGCATTTTCCTGGAATTTGTGGTTTTCTTCAGGTGAGCAATAGTTTCGTCAAATGCTAATCCTCACAGTGATTCTTGGAAGGATCATTTGCTGATTTAACTTTATTTTTGCCAATTCTTCTCTACCTAGCTCCTTCGCCCCTCAGTCTAGCGTCTGACCATGCCCATTTTCTAGCTTGTTCCTCCCTTAGGTCAGTGTGCTCTTTGTGAGTAGCAATGTCTTGGCAGAAGTGTCTCTATAGGGAAGAAGCCATGGCATTTTATGATCCTTTATATAGAAAATACTTCTAGTTCTTGGTGAAAAAACTAAATTTATAGTCATTAAACTGTAATTGAAGCCCCAAGGATGACTGGAATCACAAACGGTTAATCTTTCTCGGTTTGCGTCAGCCATGCTGTGAACTCACTTAGAAAAATGGACTCTTACTTTAATTTTAAGCTCTACTTAATGCCTAAACATCATCATGTTCATTTGGATATAAGAAATAGTTATGAAACTTAAGGACAATTGTGTGCCTCCTTAGTTAAGTTTTGTAGCTCTGTGGGATGTCCAGGAAACAAAGTAAACAATAAATATGAGGCAGTGTCTACATCTACCCTACAACCAGAATGGACCTTTGAGATTGTATGATCCGTCCATCATTTTATATATGAGGAAGGTGAGAGCTTCAGAGTTGGATGATCTGACCCAAAGCCATATCACGAGCTAGTGAGGCAGGCAGCCTCAGATCCTGATTTTCCTAGGGTAGGGTTCTTTCTAATCCCCATAGGTGCCCCAGTGCATTTCTGGATCTCTTAAAGCCAGTTGCTAGGCACTCATTATTATGGTATTCAAAAGGCATTTAAGAGAAAAAATGTCCTCAAGGACATTTTGATTGGAGTAGGGTAGGGGCTTAAGTCTTGGATAGATTAAAGTCAGTCATTTAAAAAAGTAAATGAAATATTTGAATGTAATTTATTTTGCCAAGTAATATATACACATGGCTTAAAACGTCAGAGTATAGTAGAGCTTATAATAAAATATAAGAATAACCTGCCCTACCTCACACCAACTCTTGTCTCATTCCTTAGAAGTACTTTTAGCTCTCTTTTTTTAATATATTTTATTTCTTGATTTATCAGTGAGAGACATTATTTGATTTTGTTTGAAAGGGATGAGAGCTTAGCTTGTTTCTACCTCCTCTCCTCCATTCCTGTCAGTATAATCATATCACAATTTTTGGTTCCTCTTTTAGTTACCTTTGTAATTTTAGTATGCCAGCACCTTTTATAACTTGTTTTATCTACAAAGACTCCATCCAGTCTGGAGCAGTAAATAGGGTTTGGGATAGGATTAGGGTTAGAGCTACACTTAGGACTCTGGAAGACCACCGATTATGAATATTCTGTAGGAATAATCCTCTACTTATTGTTTCCTGGTGTGTCACAGGCTGTCCTGAGATAATCTAAAATGTTTGATTTTGGATTTTATCATAATCTTTGCCTTTTTATGTTTTACAGAAGTAAATTTCTTCCTTCAGTAGATGATAATGAAAATACAGAAGAAAGAGAAGCAGGTAAGTGACACATTTCTTTTACGTGAATGCATCCAGTGTATATAAGTGCTTTTTTAACAGGAGGAGACGCTGGTAGTGTTGGCTCGTCTCTTAGCTTCTGTTTCACATCCTCCACATGGTAACTGAGAATTCTCTTCTGAACAACTTAATATATAGATTTTTGCTTTTGCTAAGGTCAGCTCCGATATAGGAATAAATGTAATGAAAACTGTGGGTCAGATTATTATACAAAATTAGCTATGTGCAAGAGAGATTTTCCTCCCTTGGAACAGCTACCCAAGTTTTTATAAAAGAGAGATGTCAGCAATTCTTTATAGTCTATTTATTTATCATTTAAGATTTTTGGTTAAACTAAAAGCATTCTTATTAATAGGAATTCTTATAATGATGGACGGGAGGTTTCTTCTGGAGGGGCTCTTGAACTAATTGAAAGGGTACGAACATCAGCTATTTGGCATTTGCTTTCTTGTAGGGGAGGGGAATTGATGAAAACATCTGGCCTGTGTGACTCATCCTGCCAGGATATCTTTCCTTAGTTGACACTTCCCTGATCCAGGTGTTTATACATTCAAAGGAACCCAGAGACCCCAACCGGTGTTGCTCAGGGGAGTGAGATGGGAGGACCTGCTTCTGTCTCTTGGAAACAGACTATCTCTGATGGCCTATTTTTCCTTTTACAGAATTGAATGGTAACCTGGTAACCAGGGGGGGATCTGAATCCCTGTTCTTCACTGGAGCCCAGGGGTTTGTGACTGGGCCAAGGACACTCTTGTGCATAGAGGTTGGGTGAGACTAGCCATTCGTTCCTCCTCACTCTGCTCCTAGGGAGTTCTAGTCAGATAAAGAGTGACTTAGGGATACAAGAACTAAGCTCTGGTCTGTACCCAATGAATAGGTCCTTAGGAAACCAGAACAAAACAGCCTGTTTTGGGAAATAAGTGACTCATCCGTTGTCAGTTCTTAACAGGAAGAGCAGTGAGTAAATACGATCCACATACATACTGGATTTCTTTTTCTGTCCTACATCTATAATGAGTTGTCAGCTGGTAGGTAAAATACTACAGAGATGCAGTTCCATGTGCCAGGAATTTATCGTATGGATATTCTCAGACAGGTGTGCAAAGCGGTGCACAGGGAATTTCGTTTATAATAGCAGAGATGGAAAAGAACCTACATGTCCCTCAAAAAAGGGACTATTTAAATCATAACACATCCATCTAGTAAAATATGATTTAGCTGTTAAAAAGAACATATTACTGAAGAGAACCCCAAACCCTCAAAACTATTGTCATCTATGATATATGGGCAAGTTTATGTTTCTTAAAGCAATCTGTGTATTTAATTTCTTTTTAAACATTCTTTTATGTTAACCTTTGATTTAAACAAAAATGTATCAGTTACCCCAAAATGAATCCTGGTTTATTTAGAGATTTTACTGGTTAATATTAAGATCTTTGGTATATCAACCAGCTGTTGTATAGCCTCAGTTTGATGGGTTTTCATTCATAATAACCTTACCCTAGGGTATTTTAGAACTCGCAGTGATGCTGATGAACAAGATGGGATTTTTATTTTGAAGTTTAATATTAGATGTGGTGGAGGAGCAAGTTAAATAAATGGGGCCACTTTCAGGAAGAGTTATCCTGCTTCTCTTCTAAGTGTGAGGTTAGGCCATACCGATGCTGAACTATAAGAAGTTGCAGAGCGTGAAAATAGAAAATTTTGTTACAGCTGAAGCAATGTATAGACTCCAGGATTGAGCATGTGTGTAGAGAGTTCAGTGCCTGACTAAGAGGAGACCCGTGTTCTGGAATGAACTTGGACCTTGATTTCAGCTGAACAGGATTGAAATTCTAACTCTTTAGCTATGCGACTTTGTGCGCCTCCAGCCTGGCTTTTCTCATCACTTAAATGGAAGAAGTCATACCTGCCTCACAAGGTGCTGATAAGAATTAAACGAGGCAATATGTTGAGTGCTTGGCATTCCCTGTATCAGTGGCAAGGGAATCCTTCAGTGTAACAGTAAAATTGATTATCAGACTTTGTTCTTTTTCTTACCATGATTCTAAGGTGTAAGAGGTAGCAGCAAATAAAACGTCTGCACTTTAAAAACCATTTTTCCTCTTCTCTGGAGAAAAATGACATGTAAATCAGTTTGATCTTGAAAATTCCCCATTTCTTTGTCAAAATCTTATCAAGATTATACTGAGATGACAAATTTTACAGGTTAATCAAAACTCAGTAATAAATAATCATGTGTGTCATTAACCAGAAAGGGCATAACAGGAACAGTGTGCCAAGAACAAAGGTTTATTGAGAGATTAACTTTGTATTTCCTAAATAAGTGTTGTAAGAAAAATAGACTTTAACAAAACATTTTAAAATGAATTATCCTCTTAAATTTCTGTTTATTGCCTGTCCCTAGGGGTTTATAGTCTTTTATCTATATTAAAAAATAATGAAACCTCTGCTTCTAAGAAATACATATTTTAATTCCTAAGATAACCAAGCAGTATTAGACAGAAAAAAATTAGCTAGAGAAATAAAATGTGAACTCTAATCATTGAAAAACCATGTAGCACTACTGTTGTATAGTACAGCTGAAAAGGCTTTTTTAAGGGGACACATCCTAACATTAGTGATGACAAACCTGTGATATCGGAATAACTGATTTTTATTCTTTTTCTTAAGAAATGTATAGTCTGGTTATAAACAGGCAGTAATAGTAGTGAATGGTATATATGTCAGAAGAGCCAGGGCTTTACATTGTGGGTAGAGGAGTAATGATTTGGAATTGGAGAGTATGAGGAATGCCAGTTTCTTGCTTGGTACTGAGAGAGGTATAAAATATGATAAAACATGGTTCTGTCTTATCATCCTAAGTGGCAAGAGGGATTTTGGTACACATATCTGATGTAGAAGAAAATTAGTAAGTGATGAATGCAATAGAAATAGGTAATATTATAAGTAGAATGAAAACTTGTAGTTATGACTGGGAGGAGTCTAGACATGCAGTAACTAGGGGAGAACCTTGCCACCTAACCTTGTGATCAAGAGTCAGGTAAGTAGAGGACTTCATTCTAGGTTCTCTAGAAAACATAAAGATGGGATGGGAAGAGTGTTCTTCAGATGTGCTTTGGGAATCTCAAAGACCTTCATGTTATTAGACCTTATTTTCTTCCCTAGAGTGAATATGAATATAATTTATTCGCCAAACGAATAGTGAATTTTTCAGCATTTATTCACCCAAGAAATACTTGTCTACTTGGGACCAGGTACAACAGTGACTGAATTTTATTCTTTTTCTTAAGAAGCTTATAATCTGGTTACAAACAGGCAGTAATAGTAGTGAATGGCATATACCTTAAAAGAACCAGGGTTTTTAATTGTGGGTGGAAGAGTAGTGATTTGGAATTGGAGAGCATGGGGAATGCAAGCCTCATCAAAGGATTTGAGAGTGTTTGAAAAGGCAAGATGTCTTCTGGAGAGAACCAGGTTTCAGTTAAAGCGAAGAAGAAATTGAGAGTTCAGGTCACTTCAGAGGACCCAGGAGGAAACATTGGGAAGGAAGAGAATAGTATATAGGTGGTTTTGGGAAGGTGGAGCACGTGGTGGTAAGGGAGTGGAGTGCTAAATTTTGGGTGGTAACCAAAGATAAACTAGGATAAGAAGAATGGTGGATTTAGTGGTGCCAGGTTCTCAGAAGAATTGGTTCCAGCTCTCTACCGGGGAAGGTGAGGATTCAGAGCTCTAGAAATATGTTTACCACCAGATAATGATACACAATTCAGAATAGTCAAAGAGATAGAACAGCAAAACTGATAACCTCAATGAGTAAGTAATTCATTTCTAAGTCTTTGCAGCTTCATCCCACAGAGGGTCTGAAGATGAGGGCTAATACTACTCAGACCTTGAGTTTGGTAGTCATTGGAAGGCCTTTTTCAGTAATGCATACAGAGAAATAGTAAAAAGCCCAATAGATCCAAGATTCAACAGTCTCATCCTGGAATCACGTTTCAAAAGGATTTAAAGTTATTATGGACCTTATCTATCCTCCCCCACCTCAAAAAAAAAAAAAAAAAAAGAAATCTGAACATTACTTTCCCCAGTCTTTAGTATACTTAACAATTTTTTCTTTAATCATTCTAATTAATTTTGTGTTCTAAGTATATACTCAAGCGCCTAGAACAAAGTGACCGGGATGGTAAAAGAATGTTGACTCATTTCATATGTGGTATGATGGATGAAATTAGGATTATGTAGCCTAAAGAAGTGAAGACTTAAGGGCCTCATGTGAAGGATTAAATGTATCTGTTGCTGGATCTGTAGATGAGAATGGGACACATTGGGAGAGATACAAGAGGACAGGTTTTAGCTCAGTATACAGAAGAAAATCTTGAGTAGTTGAGCTGCCCAGCTGTGGCATATGCCTGGTAAGCAGTAAACTCCCTAGCCCTAGGAGAGACTGGAGGACCATTGCCTTGTATATTGAAGAGCATGAGATGGGAGTTTGGCTAGATGACCTCAGAGGCCCATTCTGACTAGGATCCTAGGGTTTGCCAGTGTATTTATATAGGATATTTGCAAATAAACACCATAAACAAATGGTATATAAATAGACATAATTGTAACTAAAATATTACATAACAATTACTTGTTACACAGTGGTTCTTTCAGTTCATGCTACCGATGTCATCTGATACATCACTAGCATTTATGAGGCAGACATAAAACAATTCATTACTTTTTTAGTGGAAGTAAGCTGCTGATTTTTAAATTCTACAAATAAGGAGTCTTTAAATCTGTTTACCTGTGGGAAATTATGGAATAGGAAGACTACTTAAAAACATGAATAGAGTTGCCTGTCCTGAGTTTTGGTGGAGACCTTTGGAGAAGCTTCAAAGTAGATTGAAAGATCAAGGATCTGTGACAGTTTTAGCTCACTCACAAATGTTGATGTAACTGGAGAATTGTCTTTCTCTACCTGATTTTGATTTTTTAAAAATTGAGATACAATTCACATGCCATAAAATCTACCCTTTTGGAGTGTAAACAATCCGTTAGTTTTTAGTATATTCACAAGCTTTTGTAACCATCACAACTATCTAATTCCAGAACATTTTCTTCATCCCCTGAAAGAAACCTTATACCCATTAGCAGTCATTCTCCTTCTTCCCATTTTCTCCCTCCCCCAGCCCCTGACAACACACTGATCTGCTTTCTTTTTCTATGGATTTGCCTATTCTGGACATACTGTGAGAGGAGGAGTAGACTAGATGATTATCTATGATTCCTGGGAGCAGAATTGCTGTGACGTTGGGTAGATAAATGTTTAGTTTTATGAGGAATGTAAAAATGGCGTGACTGTGGCGTCTGACCTCCTCTAACTTCACAAGGGAGAAGGAGAATCAAGATCAACATTCCAACGCTGATCCCTGTGAGACGTTAGACATGCCTCTTCTCTCTGCCATCTTTACCAGTCCTGATACCAACTGTCCCTTCTAGGACACTCTCTACTTCTCTGCTGGGTTTGATAATTCATTGCAATGGTGACACAGAACTCATAGACAATACTCATGATTATGGGGTTTATTGGGGAAGTAACAGGTTAAAATCCAGGTTCAGAAACGCTCAGGATATAGTTCTTCCATCAGGACAGGCTCTTTTCAACTGTGTCCACAGGCATGCCTCTCTCTGGCCACTTGGCCTCTGCCTTGCTCAGGCAAGTGTTACAAAGCTCTTTTAGCTCTATCGATAAGTACCCCAAGGCACCCTACTACTACTAGGCCGATAAGCCTCGGCCTGAAGGCACTCAGTAGTAGCTCTGTGGGTTGGCAAACTTAGCTCTAGCAAGTGCCTAGAGGCACCCTACTCTGCCAGCAAGCCTCCTGCCCAAAGGCATTCAACTTTTTCAATCCATCCATGGGCCGAGAAGCCCACCACGCAGTCTCCTGTCAGCCTCTCCGGCCGCTGTTTCTCTGCCACTGCTTCTTGCTGTCTTCAGTGTTCTCTCTCTCTTTTCCTCTCTGTCTCAGTCTCCTTGTTCTAGGAGCTTCTCAGCACAGGGATCCTAGGTCCAAAGGATGTGTTCCATTCTTGGCCCTTCTTCCTTAGTGGTGATGAGATCCTTTCCTGCCACTCGGATGACTCATTTTAAGCCTAGTGGGATGGCAAAAGTGACCAGTCCTCTCATTAGGATTCCATATACCTTATTAGCATGGTCCCATCCAATCATTTGGGTGGGAGTTACAAAACCATGGTGAGAAAGGCCACACAAAAGTGATCCATGGTACCACAAGGTGCTCCCTGGCCTTCTCCCAAAGTGTTTGTATGCTCCACCACATTTAGCATTTCTAACCAAGTTTCATGCTGGTCTGGTGGCCTAGCAATTGTTATGGTTCCTTGGGAGGCCATAAAATGCTCAGTGAAATAATCATTAGCCTTTGGTCAGACAGAGGATTCAAATCCAAACTCTTCCACTACTAGCTGTATAGCCTTGGACACATCAGTAACATCACTGATCTTCCATTTCTTCATATACAAAATGGACATCTTTATGTTAACCTTGTAGAGTTATTGTGAAGATTAGAAATGCCATGAAACATGCCTAGCATAATTTCTGGTATATCCATATAATATGTGTTCAGTAAACATTAGCTGCTATTGTTATTATCACCTAATAGATGAATATCCCATTACTACCACTTGCCTCCAGCTGCTTGGGAGAGTCCTGTTCTTCATAAGAGAGACCTTGACATGAGGTATGAGTCAAAGAGAGGGCCCCACTCTGACCTATAGTAGGAGAGCTACCTGGATGGAATTAAATCTTTTATGTGTTGTCTTTGGAAGGCTGTTTAATAAGCACATCTGCATCTCTTGCTTTTTTAGTGTGTCCACCCATGCATGCTAAGCAGAAACTTATTCCCTGAGGGCCAAGTGTTCCTGGCACAGAATTCAGTAATATCATGGGGATGGCCGAGCTTTAACTGGATACCTGTCACCCCACTGCGGAGTTTCTTCTTGCCTTGTATTTGATTTTAAATTCCTTTTAAGTCTACTTAGCTCCTCCTTTTCCAGAGTCATCTTCAGTACTGAATCAGCAATGAGTTTGTCACACTGAATTTTTCTTTTTTTAGTGACGAATCCTGCCAGAATGACCAATTCCCTCTGTGTTTAGCCTTGTTTTTAAGGCTGAACTTTATTAAAAGATTAAAAAAAAATAATCTTTATTTTCTTTCATCCTTTCCTCCTGGGATTCTCAGTATTCTGTTTGGGAATATCATACTAGTGAAGGGAACTTCAAAAAACAGAAGGAGAAATATGTAGCTGAATTTTGTGCTCCCCATCACTACCAGGATGGGCCAGGAAGTCTGAGTACAGACTGGGTAACCAGCACACTGGAGGGAAACCACACCACCTGGGCAAGTGTCTGTGCCCTTTAGCACATGCCAGGCCTCTTAGTAGGAGAGCAAGCTACTCACAAATGGTGCTGTTCCTAAACCATCATCCAAAGATGACTGTAACCATTTCCTGGAAAACATGCCTATCCCTCCCAGGCACTCCTTAGTTATTTCTTTGTTCCAGACCCAGGAGAGTGTGCTGTTCCCTGGAACTGGCACCCACAGATTGTTATCTGATTATTGCCACCTTGACTTGGTTAGGAAATGGCAGATGTTTTCTATAACACCAGACCTGAAAGTATGCTATGTAACTTCTACTTCCAAAGAAGTGTTTCCTTAAAAGAGGTCACCTTGGGAGGCCGCGTATTTATTTGATGGTATTCAAAAAAAGCTTTGAAACTTCCCTTTTAGGGTTGCCTTAAGCACAGGTGACACATTTTTTCAGATAACATCTATCATGGCAGAGCATCCTCTTATGTAGGTGGTTTGGTTTTTTCAAGTGACCAAAGATTATTTGGTGCTGAGTCTGGTGGCTAAGTTAGATGGTCATACAGAAGAACACCATTTTAAATTAGAAGTAAAAGGTGAAGCTTTGAGCGCTGAACTGAGTTTCTTGTTGAAAATCAACCCAGCTATATGCTGATGCTGTTTGAATGATAGGCGAGAACAAAGATTTGGCGAAATAAAGCAATATACCGCGGGTGATATTACCACCAGTGATATCACCTTTACTTATGACTGAGTCTCAGACCACAATTTGAACAATAACTTCTTGTGTATTAGTGTGACGTGTGCCATTCTGGATCAGAACAGGTTGCCTAGGATTTTGTGTCTGATAGCGGCATGTAAAGGTATTTTGTGGGAGACTATGGTAGTTGCCTGTCCTAGACATGAAGCATAAAAAGGTATTTAGATTCTGCATATAACCATGGATATCCTCCTGGTTTTTATGTAGTAATTTTTTTACTTACAATATGCTAGCAACAAATTGGTACTGCTCCATAAGGGCAAAGGACATGTGTGTCCTATTTGCCACTATATCTCCAGGGCCTGGCACAGTAGGAACTAAACATAATTGGAACTCAGTATTTGTTGAGTGAATCCATGCATTCAATCTTAATAATACTCTTTGTATGAAGCATGCAATGGAAGGGTAATATGCTTTTCTGTTTCTCTGTTTTTTACAGTTGTCAAATTTCAAAGTTTTGAATCACTCCCCAATGTCTGATGCCTCTGTCAATTTTGACTACAAATCCCCATCTCCTTTTGACTGCAGTACTGATCAGGAAGAGAAAATTGAAGATATTTCTAGTCAGTGTCTGCCCCAGAAGGACCTGTATGCTACTGAAGAGGAAGCTGATACCCTTTTCCCTAGGAAAATGACATCCCATAATGGGATGGAGGACAGTGGAGGAGGAGGCACTGGAGTGAAGAAGAAACGGAAGAAAAAGAATCCAGGAGAGCAGGAAGGTGCAGCAAAGGGAAGCAAGGACAGGGAGCCCAAGCCAAAGAGGAAGCGAGAGCCTAAAGAGCCAAAGGAACCTAGGAAGGCTAAGGAGCCGAAGAAGGCCAAGGAACCCAAGGAGCCGAAGCAGAAGGATGGAGCAAAGAAGGCACGGAAGCCCCGAGAGGCCTCGGGCACTAAGGAGGCCAAAGAGAAGAAGAGCGGAGCTGACTCAGCAGCCAGGACAAAGTCCAGAAAGGCCAGGTGTGCGCCTTTCTCCCTGCTTTGAGCACTTGGCTCTGCCTCCACAGAATGGTTTGCCTTAGGCATTACCCAGAGACCCTGGGTATAACTTCTATACTTTTTTTTTTCTATACTTCTTGGGGAACCTTGGTGGCCCAGTGGTTAAGAGCTCAAATCCACCAGCTGCTCCTTGGAAACCCTATAGGGCAGTTCTACTCTGTCCTGAAGGGTCGCTATGAGTCGGAATCTCCTCAGAGGCAATGGGTTTGGTTTTTTTTTTTTTGTGGGTGGCTTGAGCTTCATGCCTCACTTGTGTAAAATCGGAGAGGGGACACCCACTTGGTTCTAATTTAAGGGGCTGTCCTTGGAGGTTGCTGTTTCTAATTGCATTCCTGGAGTTGTCTTGGAGTATTTTTAGGATACTCCCAGAACTTCCCCCACCCCACTCCAACCGTCCTTTTTGCCTGTATACTTAGTACACAGCATTCTTCAGTTAGTGATTGGTACCCAACCTGATATGTGGGTATGCCTCTTAAATCCCTTGTTTATGTGCTCCTCTGTCCATGTTAGCTTTTGGCCAAAAAGGAACCACTTTTCTCACCTCCTAATGAGAGAACCAATTAACCTTAATTATTACTGGCCATGTAATTTCTTACCATTCCTTTTGAATTAAAAAGAAGTGAAATTTGTTAACATGAACAGGTTGTAAGGGAGGGACTGTCACAGGTCTGACGTAGGGAAGGCAGCAGTTACTGGAACAGCCACACTGTAGAGTGAGAGAGGAGCAGATGTTCTGAGGGTGCACAGCCATGGTCGTCAGTGGTGCAGGTGGCCTGTGAGAGCTGCAGGTGGCTGTGGAGTTTCAGACAGAAGAAGACTGAATTGCTTCCCCTAAGCTATGAGTGTGGGGACTATTTCTTACCCACTTCTCAAGTTTAGCATTTAGCACAGTGCCTGAAGCATCAACAGGTGCTCAGAAAACGTTGAGTATGTGAGACAAGAGGAGATCATAATTACTTCTAGAGAGATCAGAGGGCCTGGGTACAGATTCACTGTGGAGTGGGTGATATTGAGGGTCTGGCTATAGATCCTTTCAGGATAGCAAGTGTACTCCTCACTCAGGGAATTTAATATATGTCATTAGTATTCAAATATATGTTTTTTCCATTTGTCTCTATATAAAACTTTGTGCAGAGTATTATAGTTAAGCTTTTTGAGGAAATACAGAAAAACTTAAGGTCCCAATCTTAAGGAATTTAAGTTACCAAAAAAAAAGAAAATTAAGGGTTGAGATTCTCTCTTTCTCTAATCTATCTAGTCTAATCTATCTCACACCAAGAGCATCCATAACGACCCAGAATTTGATGTTAATGCTAATAGAACGTAAGGTGAGGTCATCAGACTCCTCTCGTATAGGGTCAGTGTGGTAAGTTTTAAAGAGAGAAAGCATTTTAGGTGGTGTGTGCTGTGACTTGTAGTATATAGTACCATTCTTTTTCAGAAGGACAGGTTGTTGGGACCAGATGGATAATTTCCTAGTCCAGGTTAAAATTTTGCCTTATAATATTCACTCCCCTCTGCCTGGCAGGGGATTTCATCTTTTGTCTATTAAAGAGGCTAGGGTGGGATCCTAGGAATGTAATTTACAGGAATGGCCGTAGAATACCTTAGAGAAGATCAAGACAGGTAGGTAAAATCAGGGTTCTAATTTTGTGGGCTTTGTTTCTCAGTGAACCTAGTGAGTGTTCTCTGTCCTCTGTTGTGTGTGTGGGGTGGCAGAGTGAACTTTTTTAGCTTCTGCCAATAATTTTAATCTCCAGATTACTTTGGAGAAAATGAAGTAGTTCTTCAGGGTAATAGCATGTGTGAAAAAGACATTAGACATGAGCTAGTAGAGTGACTTAATTTGGTTATTACAGAGAACAGTGAGTAATAAGGATAGTGTTTTAGAATTGGAGTAATTAGAGGAGAGTTTAAGAGCCCAAATAAAGGAGCCTGGTTTGGGTGTAGAAAGCCATGTAGGTATCTGAGCTCACTTAGCCAATGGTCTCTGATGCTTACAATTTAATTGACCTCTACTTCTTAAAGGAGTTTGAATTTACTTTGTGTGAGATATGAAACAAGGTGATGAGTGTATAGACATCCATTTTGGTGGAATGAAGAGGCTATTCACAAAACAAAGTTGTGTGTCAAATGTATATGTAGCAGTAATTAAGGGAGCATGATTTTGATCTAATTAGACTGTAAAATATAAGTGACTTGGTGAAGTGCTTGGTAGTGTTTTCAAGGGCTGCTAACTTAGAAGAAAGCAGAATCTCTTTGAGGTTTAGAAATCCAGGAGACATCCGTTGAGAGGATGCTGACAGACTGTGCTTTATCATCTCTTTAGAAATGTGAGCAAGTTACATGAGGCTTTCATTCTCTTTACTTTAGAGATATATATTATTGACTTGTGACATAATAGAATTCTTGTATGTAGCCCGGATAGATTCTGGACTGATTAGCCTGATTACTTCTCCTTTATATCTTTAGGAGCCCTGGTAGCACAGTGATTAAGAGCTCAGCTGCCAACCACAAAGGTCAGCAGTTCGAATCTACCACTTATTCCTCGGAAACCCTGTGGGGCAGTTCTGCATAAAATTGTTTTGGACCCTTTAATTGATGACCCCACTGGTCAGAAGAAGCAGTTTTAGTTATGGAAGGACATGAATTGACTTAAAAAATATATACTGATAATTCTCAGTTTTTTGTGCTGCTTTGACTTACTGTCTTGAAGATTAGCTCAGATACATGTTTTGATTTGAGCAGTTATTGATTAAACCCTAGATAATACTTGATGGTTACAGATGAGTCACTGAATCCTTGGATTATTATAGGAGCTTTACAACTGATTTATAGACTTCCCATCTTTTCCTCCTTCAGTTCATCTTACCAACTGCCACCAGGCTAATCTTTCTGAAGCACTGCTGTTAATGTTATTTATGTTGGTAGATGAGTGGGGTGGTAGTGGTGGCAAGCCAAACCTCTTTCCCTCTCGCGGTTCAAGTCACTTGGGAAATAGTCAGCAGAGAGATTAACATCCAGTTATCAGCCTTATTACTGATAAACTGGACTGAAGAACTTACGTCAGTCTGTGGCCAGAATTGGACTTCTCAATTGAGTTTATCCACCAGAACTACAGGCGCATCCCTGAAGCAGAGGAGATGATACTGGGCCATGTACACGCCATTCCTTTTCCCAATCTCTCCAGTCACGTGTCCCCAATCAAAGAAACGAGATGAGTTTGAAGAAGTACAAAAAATGTGTTTCCAGTATTGTTACCTTGTAGGGAGTAAAACATGATTTTCCTCATGAAAACATGGGAACAGGGAAATGGGATTCCCCTAACAATTTCTCACCAGGACTTTTCTAAATTAGAGTCTGGCACATAGTGATCCTTTACCTAATATGTAATGAAACACTTCCTAAGTAAGACTACTTGATAAATAACTATTGGTTTAGTTATCTAGAATATTGTTAGTGCCTTCTGTGTGCCTTGCTTTATTTATTGGGAATGGAATAGTGAAGGAAGGACGTTGTAAGAGAAGTATAATCTCTGAGCCCTGTCACTGAGGAGCTTTCACGAGTTAGAGAGACAGCCTTGCAAATGTGCAAGAACCAGCAAAGATATATACAAGTAACAGGGAAGCTATATACAGGAGAGCTGAAAGGGTTTCCAGAGTTAAAGGTATTTCAGTTTTGATCTAGGGAGTCCCTTTGGAGAAGTGGGTATTGAACTAGATATTAAAGGAATTAATAGGTGAGAAAAGACTTAAAGCAAAAAGACCAAAAGACATTTAAACAAATGTCCTTTAGGGGAACTTACAGTTTAAGATGGTAAACCAAGCATACTTTTATTTCCTCTTCTCCAAATCCTATTGCAATGCCAGGAAGTAGAGAGGAGAATAAGTTCTTTAGAGATAAGAGATGTTACTGAAGTCCCTGACAAGGAAGACCAGTGGTATCATACTGGTGGACAGATGCTGTGGAGGGAGTCCCAGCTCAGAGCACACAAAAGAGCTGTGTTTGTGGCAGAGGTAGAAGTGCTTTCTTCTCACACTGGAGCTGGCAGCTCTGGAGAAGAGATTGGTGGCAGGCCAGAAATGGAGGTGGTGGATTAAGGGACTGTCTGCAAAGTGGCTATGTGCTTGTCAGCTCCAGGCTAAACTCAGGAAATTACACTAAAGATATTGAGCAGTTTGTCAGGGGGTGGCGCTAGGGTTCCAGGTGGGCACTGACATCCTCAAGAAGGGGGCATGGGGCATTAGCTTATCTGCCTTTCTGTGCCGGCATACTCTAAATGAGGGGAAGCCATCCCAAGCCTCCCATTCCTGGGTGAGGCTTGTTGGAGAAAGCAGATTTACTCAGCAGCAGAGGAGAGCCTCACCAACCACCTGTATTATAAACCTGTTATTACTTGCCATTGAGTCAGCTCTGACCCACGGTGACTCTATGTATAACAGAAAGAAACATTGTCTGGTCCTGTGCCTTCTTCATGATCGTTGGTAATTGGACATTGATCTGTTGTGACAAATAGGGTTTTTATTGACTAATTTTTGGAAGTAGATTGCCAGACCTTTCTTCCTAGTTTGACTTAGTCTGGAAGCTCCTCTGACACCTGTCTACCATGGTGATCCTTCTAGTATTTGAAATACCAGTGGCATAGCTTCCAGCAAATAGCCACATGCAAGCCACCACAGTACCACAAACTGACGGATGGATGACAATCTCTGTATATAGACTAAACTAATATGGGCATTATGTGAAAGGTGAATTAAGTGTGCAGACAAGCTCTTTTGGGGGTAATATACCTGTGTCTCCAGTATTGTGCTTCTGCGAAGGGCACCAAAGCCTGTAGAAAGGCCAGGGCTAGAAGCTTTTCTGAAGAATTTTACCTAGAGTGGAGTAGTGGTTCTGGGCTAGCCTCTCCGGATTTATGCATGCTTGTGGAGGCAGTAATTGAGATCATCAGGTCTTTTCAG